ACTGCCACCTCCCAAGCAAGTGGGGAGTTTGCGTCTCGGCTCCGTCGCCATGCTGCTTCTTTTTTGCATGTGTGATTGGAATCTGAGGCTATCCAGACGCTTCAAGCGCTGTGGCTTGGAAGGCTGCCGACTGACTCCCCAACTCACTCCACACAGCCTGCCCAGTTGTGTGAGTTTGTGTGGAAAGGCGGACTTGTTGGCTAACAGCCAGGCTGAAGCGGCTTCTTCTCAACGGGACTTACAGCACTCTCACGCATGTGAAATGTACGCCTCTCAACCGCAGTTGCGTGAAATCCTGGTGCTCGTGTTTTGGGGGCCAGGCCGTGCATGTGACGCGCGCAGACAAGATCATTAAATATGTCACCTACTATGCCGGATTCCCGCACCTGTCACGTGACTGGCTCGGACAGTGACTGAGGCCTGGGAATCTGAAGGGAGAGTAAGGTCAATGACTCAGCACATTTTCCTCACTATAAACAAAGTGACGCGCTTGAAACTCTCACGTTGCGCTAAAAGCCGTGGCCTTGAAGCTTGCCAACTGACAACCAGTGTTATATGTTTGTGTGGAGCGTCCGACTGGTGGTCTAAGATTCAAGCTGCAATAGCTCCTTCTCAATTTGGCCTTTATGGTCCCCCCACCCAGTGGGATCTGAGCCAGGCGTGATGGCACGCCTCGGTGCGGCTACGGCCGCGCCAGCCCCTTTTGTTTACGGTTAAAATCCTTGTCATTTGCTGCATGAACCAGAGGGTGTGGAGTGGAGCGCCAAGATGCAGGCACAACCGTGCCATCCACCTGCGCCCTCCCCCGCCTCCGGTATCCTTGACTATGTCTTGACACCGGGTCCAGGGGGGGGGGGAAGAGGAGGGAGTGCGGTGGAGTCTAAGCAAGTCTACTACTACTATAAACTAATTCACGCACAAGTCACCGTCCCTGCTCCACCTTGCTGTGGAGCACGCGGTGAACATCGTCGGTAACGACGGTCGAACTATCGTGCTTGTGACTGATGGACTTATATTCAAGCTCTTGTGGCTTCTTTTTAATGACACTCCCGCACATATGAGATCCGAGTTGTCTAACCCCTTTTGTGTGTAATACTATTGTGTGTGTCTGATGAGTCAGTTTGTGCATGTGGCTCGCGCAGATAGTCTCTATACATTTGTCAGCCAGTGCGCCCAATCCCACTTACGGCATCAGACAGCTGATCGGCTCGGACAGTGGAATTGTCGGCGTGAGCGGGTAGGGAGAGTGATGTCGAAGGTCTCAGGGCATATTCAGTCGGTCAATTAAACAGTGTATTTTAGAAAATGACAGAAGCTATTGAAAAGTTCCTTTAAATAATACGGTCTGCATGAAAAATAACTAAGTTGCAAATATTCGCAGGTTACTTTAGTACGTGAAATGCATATGGCTCTTAATGAAAAAGGAGTGTTAAAAAGGATGGAGAATTTGCAAAATAACAGAGTACAACGCATCCACTGCACGCGCACGCAATATGTTCAGCAATATCAAAGTTAATGTAAGCAAAGTGGATTATTGAAATCACGATAGTAGCATGTTGATGGCGTTTGGGGAATTCTGACTAGACTTTAGCATGCGGGTATCCAGACGCCCCTTAAACTCACGCACGGTGGTGAATGCACGGCATACATACGTCGGTGAAAAATTCCACTGACGAATGACTCCTTTCCAGAAGAAGAATAAGAAGAAGAAGAAAAAGGAGAAGAAGGAGCGTCGATTGGTGCGCCGCAGTCCTTGTCGTTTTAGATTTGTCTCTAGCGCCACTTCCAAGGATTTTTCCAGTCCACATCAAGATCAAGCCCAATTAACAAGTGAAACGTTATTATAAGGTCTTCACTGTCCCACCTCTACTGGCGAAGCTTAATGCGGTCAGACGCTGCTCCTAAGACAGTTTTTTGCGTCAAGAGATATGCTTTGTAGCATTGCTGTACACTTTCAAGAATACCTATGTCTCCTCTAAGCCACGGCCGCCAAGCTTATATTCCAACTGTGGCCGCGCAGATCCTCCATGTGCTTTGCTGAAGATATCCGCATCCTGGTTTACAAACGTTTTGCGTGTCGCAATCCCGTACTGTGACTTTGAAACACTGCGTCGTTCCGTTCAAACCGTCTTTAACGAATATCCCAATTGCACTATATGCAATCTGACACGCTTGAATCCATCGGTGCACTAAAAGTTGTGGCTGGGAAGGTTGCCAATTGACGGGATAGCCTGGCCCTCCGCAGAGGACAGAGAGTCATGCTGCAACAGCTCCTTCTTCATCTGGCCTTTTTGGCACTTCCACCTAGTGGGATCCGAGTTGGACTCTTTTTTCCTGTTGTGTGAAATCCTGGTCAGTGTGCCTTGTGGATCAGGGAGTGTGGAGGAACGCCTTGTTTCGGGCTTTCTTCTCGCTAGTCACCTACGCCCTCTCCTGCCTTCGCTCCTCTTGATTTCGTCATGACACCGAGACGAGGGGGGTAGAAGGAGAGTCTGCAGCAGATTCCGGGCTACTTTACTATCATTATAGACGAAATCATGCACAAGTAGCCGTCCATGTGGAGCACAAAGGAGGGCATCTTCGTAGACGTCGGGTGACTGACTGTAGGACAGGCAGTCCGGGTGCAATGGCTCCTTTTAATGTGATTCTTATGGTACCTCCCTCCCCTATTCGTGAGATTCGAATCGCCTTCTGTGAAAGCCTGGTAGATGCTATGGGAGCCAGGCCGTGTGGTTGACACGGGCTGTTTGGCTTTGTCAGTCACTGCGCCCAAATCACCTCCGGTCGTTTCGACACTGCCTTGCCGTGGCAGCAAAATGATTGGTTGAGGTTGTGGTAGATGATACTCGAACCTGCCACCGCATCAACTGATTTGGGCTCAAATTGCCGATGCTACGCCCACGCGGTGAGGCACGTCGTGAACGTCATTGCTCGTCCGCACTTTTTGTGGTTATCTAAGCTTCTATTCTTATCATTCTCATCTGGTTTACTGCATATTCACTCCATTGAAATGTCGAGTTTGTAGAAACAGAATTCGGAAGTGGTTCCTTTCGTCGTAAACCTAGGGAAAGAAAATTGTTCTGTGCAGTATCATAAAAGGTGTGCTTTAACTTCCACTCGAGGCGAACTAAACTTAAAGCGTGTATAGTACTTGCGTGCCTACTTTTCCGAAATTTATTTGAGCATCCGGCAGTCAATATGTCTGTTTAAAAGTCTGCCCCTAAAACGGGCCACGCGGTAGATGCTCTGGACCAACACAGAAGGCTAGACCGGAGTCCGGCGGGTGTTTTCAGGACTGCGCGCCCATATCGGGTGCCAACATTGGGGAGTAGTGTCACGCCCAGTTGCCGTCCTATATTGCGTTAGATGGGATCCGTGTCGCTCCCCTGTTTCTGTTATGGAGTTAAATCCTGGTCAGTGTGTATGTGGTGCACCGGGGACTGTGCTGGTAGCCCAAGGTGCGGATTTTCGGCGTGTCAGCAACCTGCGTCCTCTCCCTCCTCCGGTCTCCTTGACTCTCTCTCTTGGTATCAGACCCAGGTAAGGGAGGATGAGAAGGAGTGCAGTAGACGCTGCGCGAGCCTACTATCCCAATAAACTGATTCACGGGCAGGTCACAGTCCGTGCTCTCATCCTATTGTCGAGCACACGGTGGACATCGTATAAACCGACGACCGAACTGATATACTGCGCTTGTGATTGTGATCCATGTTAGCGCTGCCTTCCTAGGCCCTGTGTATATCCTTCGGCCTCCATAATATCGACTCTGATGAAGCATAACTCCTCTGTATGTGCTTTGTATGCCATCTAATGCACGACTTTTGAGGACTAAGGTGCTACTAAGTTGAGTTATTCTCACATGAACGAATTCATGTGGGACCAGAAAGTGCAAATTCCCATATAACTATGTTTAATAGAAACGAGTTTCCTGACAAATAAACACGTTCAGTGTGCCCTCAGTTAAAGACATTCATGTTTTTTCAAAGTCGTACTTGTGCCTCCAAAACGAGCTACACGGTAAGTACACTGGACCGGCATGGGGACTAGATCGGAGCCCGGAATTTGCGCTCGTAAAAAATGCCAACATTAGGGCTGTGGCGAAAGCCCTGGTGTTGACCCACGCCTCGTCAGCTGAGATCGGAGTCATCTCCCCTTCTTTCTTGTATAAAATTCTCGTCATTGTACCTTGTGGATCAGGGAATGCGGTGGCACGCCAAAGTGAGGATTTTCGTCGGGCCAGCCACCTGCGCCCTCCCCCCCTCCGCTCTTCTTGACTTGATCGTGCCACCGGGCCCAGGTAGGGAGGAAAGGGAGAATGCGGTGGATGCAGCGTAAGTCACCGTCCCTGCTTCAACCCTGTTCTGGAGCACATGGTGGACATCGTCGTAAGTGTCACTTGTCAGTAGGATTTCCTGTTAAAACAGCTGGTATAGAAGTTGCCCATTTTTCAGACGGAAGTCAAAATGTCCTACTTCAATCGTTAGTAGTAGCATTCCTTGTGATTAGCTCACTTGACCTCTGGTAAGCAGAGCAATAAATATTAAAGTGCAAGCTAGCTCATGAAGGCTGAAGCTAAAGAAACACTTGAAAATCAAACGTTTAGGGAGTTATACAACTGTAATATTCCCGCCCACGGAAAACACGGGTTTGGAAGTAGTACTTTGGACCGGGGGATTAGCAGTGTCATAAAGATTTCCGATACCGAGCGCGTCTCAAGATCTTCCGTCAAGGTCCAATTCTAATATACCTTACTAGTGCACTTCTGAGTGTCGATATTGGCTAAATCTCCGGGTTTAAGTAGGCCTTGCGAATGACAAAGTATGAGCATTAGATCAGGTTTCTGGACTGCCTGACGCCACTGAAGTTCGTCCAAATGCAGATTTTTCTCACAGTATCGACGAGTAGCTACACATTGTAGAGTACAAACTGATGAGATATCTGAAGGACGCAAAGGCCTCAAGCTTTGTCAGAGTGAACGAATACACAAGGAGGACTTCTAGTCACGCGGAAAGGAGTGAGCCGTGAGCGGCCTTTACTGCAAGGATGTAGACCGCAGCTACGCCAGAATATCGAGAGTTAACTTCTAACTAGAGGGAAAGAGAACATGCTGTACGCGTAAAGAATGGGTTCTAACTCTCAAGCCAGAGCCCACGCTGGTTGAACAGACCACTGCCTTGACTTCAGCGGCGCGGTCAAAGTGACAAACACAGTGCATGGGTCTTGCATGAAATACGGTTTTCGCGCACACAGGCATTTAACCCGAAGGTCAGGCCTTTAATCTCCGACTTGACCATGGGTGCACGGCGAAAATGTGCGCGCTGATGCGCTCTGATGTGTAATCAATGATGAAAGCGACGCCGGTGAACACAGCCGTTGCATTAGTCTTGCGGTGACATATGACATTTTGTTTTGGCCTCAGTAATTTCGATGCACGGTGTGCCGTCCAAACCCCGGGGCCCCAGCCTACCTACTCAGAGATATCACCCCATTAGAGGATGACGGAATGTCTGAGCAATCTTAAGCATTGCTTTGGAATTGGAAAGCCATATGATACAGCGCCCTCGGAGATCAGGAACAACTGTACAAACGCTCGCCCCCCCCCCCCTTCGATGTAAATACTAATGTTTGACTTGGAACTGCGCACTTCTGGCGGAACTGGATTTCTGAAGGATGGACTGGCGGTACCTGAAATTCATGAAGCCATACTGAATAACTGTATAATCCTATAATCTCAGCAGAGCAGTGCTAGAGTGAATCAAATAACATTGACAGACGCAGGTCCAGAAAGAGATATCTTAAAGTGTAGTAGCAGGACGTTCCGACAGAAAACTATACGCCGTCGTAAATGCGAACGCGATAAAGCCAGGGATTTGTCCTGCTTAAGTTGGTCAGTATAGAGTACCTAAAAGCCGGAAAGCAAACGTTTTAGCGATGAGTTCACCACCGCTTTGGTCCTTAAACTTTACCCTCCGCATTCTCAGGACGAATTTCTAAAATGACTCTTATTAGAGGGCTTCCATGAGTAGAGAAAACGGTCCTAAAGGCATTGGTAAACAAGTATGCAAAACGAACGTAAACCTACTCTAAAAATGTACGTAAAAAGTCCCTTGTAGTAATGCAGAAACTCAACACCCGAAACGAAGTAAGCAGGCCTATGACGCCTAGTTAACAGTTTGTTCTGAAAATAAAATCATATGTGTGAGTATTTTTAACAAATTGAAGGACTGTAGCTTGATCGGAAAATAAGGGAAATTTAAATGGTCCCATTCAGTACCTGTTATAGGAGTACCTTTTCATAACTAAGCAATTATTATGCAGACTACAGCAGGCATAAACACTACACAGTGAGTCATTGTTCCTTCTTTCATTATGGGCTGACAAAAATTTTTTCAACTATTAGAATTTTAAGTGGTGCTTTGGCAGATTTTGAAAAATTCGTTTTGAGCTGCAGACATTTCCAATGAAGAATTCAAACGACAATTTGGCGAGAATACATTTGCTTTCAATAAATTCTCTTCAGATCTGTATATTTATATTGTCACCCGCATATAATTGCCCGTCCCAGTGCCCATCATCTCTCTCTTCCATGACACTGGCTTTAATTTTGTTCTTCACTTCACCCACCCCGGCCAACCTCCCACAAATAAATTCTACTTGCCCGAATTTTCCCATTAATTATTTAAATAGCAGCATAAATGCACAAGTCTGAAGAGAACTAATCGAATGAAAACGCATGCTCGCAAACTTGTCTTTTGAATGCATTTTGAACAACTGCAAAAAAACTCTGCGGTTTCGATGGGATTCGAACCTATGACAGCCTAGGGGGAGGTTGGGGTACAGGCCATGCTCTAGCCACCTTAGCTATGAGGACCATCGGCAGCCGAGAGTTTGATCACATTTGGGCCAAGTTACCCGGTCAACCTGCTGCAACGCATGGAATCCACCAAATCTGATACAGTAAGTTGACTGTCCAAGCAGGATTTCCTAAGTAATCCATCTCGAATCCAAAAAATGACTACCAGTCTAGAGGCACAGTGACTATGCACCGCGACTTACCACGCGGTTCCTTCCGTGGTCTTTCAGTTGTGATTACGGCCTCTCTATCCTCTCAATCCAGCGAGAGGCTGTGTCGGGGAAAGTGCACATGCCACCCTCACTCGCTTCCCTGCGTGCGCTCTCTTTCCCTTTCTAATCCAGCGAGTGGCTGAGCTAGGTATGTTATCTAATATCGTTTTAGTAGGCTAACCATATGGTATCAGTCGAGTGGGGGCTGCATAACCAAATCTCGCCGTTTTAACAAAGACCTTCAACAGCTAGAACACTGATTGACTATATAACTGAATTATTCAGTTTAGATGTCAGGAGAGGCTGTTACAGCTGTTCAGGAGACTCAATGGAAGCATGACTGAGTCTTGGAAGCATTCACAGTGACAAGTAGGGAGAAGCAGGTTTGCGTACTCGTTCTCATCGTCTTCAGTTTCATATTCTGTACCGCAGTGATGAAAGCCTACCGCGACCAGGGGCCTGGATTCAGCATCGACTGCCGCACCTGCAGCAACTGCTCAGCATCCGGTGTATGTAGGCTGAAATAAAAGCATCTGAGGTCAATGTTCTCGAAGTCTTATTTGCTGAGGACTGGATACTCGATATCTTGGCTGGGGAGTGTACTAAACCGACGGCAGCTCACCATGAAAATCTTCCAACAGTTGTCGACTGTATAGCTTTCAGGAGAAACATTAAGCCAATGAACATTAAAATAATAGGTTTTTGACAACTTCCGTCAGCAAAATTGGAGCCCGAATCTGCAAGGTCAGGCAGATTTACGGCAGTAAAAATATCCAGTCTGGATCACCATCGCATTTTCTTAACGCGAAACTGCTGATTTACCGGATCGTCGCTCTACCAACACCCCGCTGAGGGGCTTAAAAGTGGAGATTTTGTAAAAAATAGACGGAAAGCTGAAACGTTTTTTTCTAACCTGTCTAACAAGGATTTTGAAGACGGTTTGGCAGAAGGTGACTTCTAACACCCAGGTCCACGAAATAACCAGTAAACCTGACTAATCCAACTTCAGATGTGGTCAGCAAATCATGAGGACGACAATATATGCCCATCTAAACGACCCTTCTGTGGCACTCACAGGCAGGGAGAGAAAATCTGGGACCTTAATTAGGTGCCTCAATATCAGACAAATATCTTCTGAAAGTCCTACACAGTACCAACAAACATGGTGATCTGCCCTACTGATGCACTTTTGAAGTTAACCGAATGCAGGATGTCAAGACGAAGGACTAGCGCAGTCAACATCCAACCTTTTGCAACGTATCCTCCTCAGTACCGTTCGCTGCAATACTGACATGACCACATCACAAAAGCACTGGAATCATTGAATATGCTCACTGGACTGCCCACCGTGTGGAAGCACGTCCAGCCCTCTGTTCGTCTTCAGACATCGCTTCTGGGTGTTATTATTGACTTACGGCATCACCAATTTCATCGTCATCATCATCATCATCACCACCACCATCATCATCGTCGTCGTCGTCGTCGTTATCACCACCACCGCCGCCGCCACCACGACCACCACCGCCACCACCGCAAACATCTTGGTAGTATACATCGGACTTACTCTTTCGTATGATGCAAAGCCCCAGTGCAAGACCTAGAGACCGCTGACTTTTCTGAATGCTGTCACTACTACGGAGACGCACTTTAAATAACTTGTCTAACTCCATGAATGTTGTAAGCCAACCAGCATTTTCTCTTTGTGACAGGTTACTTATGAGAAGACGGGTGCTGTGCAACTCGTTTTGCATACTTCGACCTACCAGCCATTGGCTGCCAACGCAGTGGTAACATCAACGAACCGTCGTCAGAGGAGGATGCATAGGAGGAAGTTGTGGGAGATCTTGTGTTACGAGGAGCGTATTGAAAACTACAAGCCTACCTCAGCGGACCAGGAGACGGAGCAAGTCAATCCGGACGAGGCAATGCTTACGGACGTGGTGAATAAAACCCTTCTAATTGCCCAGTTTCTGCCTACCTGAACCCATATCAGTTAAATGTCTCTCTAACGCACAAATATCTCCTCTTTGCTGAATTCACAAGCATTTTTCTAAGCAATGGACCCCTTCCAACAGCTAGGCGGCCAAGCCGATTCTCATATCTGTACAGACTCGTTGGCGCTGATGTAGGGCATAATGGATGAAGCGTGGGATGCGGCAATCGTGAAATGCGGGTCCTCGAGCGTTATTCCCTTCTATCGATGGCACTACTGCGCCATCCTGGTGCTGGACTCGCCTCACTTGCCCGGCGACTACGAAGATTGCCAGCATGTGTATGAATGGTTGACTGTGAAAGAAACCGAATTTAATTGGTCTCACCAGACATCTGCGGGCCACTTGCAGCAATACTATTGGCGAACCGATGCTATTAAGCCCCTGTCTGTGCATATGCATGACAATAGCAAAACACCCTTTATTACTTATACTACAGCCATACGTACACATGCAGCCTGCAGATATACCCGTGAGAAAAAAAGAGAGCCTCGATAACTGAAACAAGAATTTTGTTTGCCTGGCATTTTGGATTCGCCCGACGACCAGTCGCCATAAGCACCAAGAAATACCATTGTCCCAGAGGAAGCATAATGCTGACTTACACGGAATGTTGTTCATGACGAATGAAACTTGCGCAGGATCTACACTACCCTCCTTCCCCACGGCCATTACGGCAAAATCAAGACGACCGGAGATGGATGTGAACGCAGCAGCCGACTGGCGTGAGGCCACGCCTTCGCGCAATATGCACGTACTGTTTCCTAGCTTCCATGTACCAGCCTTAAATTGCTCCCGCTTAGTCAGGCATCATTGCTGCTCTAACGGACTTTTCGTTGCATCTGACGAAATATTCTCTAAGCAGGTGAAAGATACGTCGGTGAGTTCGCAGCTTTTTGGATTTTCTGTTGATGCGCTCTTGCAATGGCTATAATCACGGGCCGCAAAATGAACTCGATGATACCCTCGACATCATCGAAAGGGGTCAGGCGTTGATATTTAAAACATATCTCAAGGCCGACTTCTCACATCCACAATTCACGGTGGTGGAAATAATCAACCAGATGGCTCCGCCTAACATCCTTGTTTATCGCAAATTCTCCAGGGCTTTGAAAATTAAAATGTTTGGGAAAGGTAAATCTGCTGTCAACAAGAAAACCGCCCCGTTTCTACTTTGTCGACTTCTCCCGCTAAAACAGCAACAGCATTGACAACAGGTGATACCGTAATTTCTGCGACCGAGATTTATGCTAGTTCTCCTATGATTACCTACATATCTGTCGTTTCTGTTGGCGCTACCAACCGTGCCATCACTACTGCTAAAGCTTAAAACTACATCCGTGCATAGCATTTCAACCTGACCTATGTCAACCACAAATGCCTACACAAACGCTACTCAAAAACATCAGTAAACGTGTTATTTTGATGATCGTTTGTTATCACCAGCAGCAGTAAAAACGTGATCCACGGGTGGCATTTCCAATGTAGAGGCGTTCACTGGGAAAAGTTTGCTTGAGGTCTGACGTTTTGAACAATGATTCCGTTTACCCATCTTCAGAGGCTGGAAAGTCTTGCGCACAGCTCTCGTTATATGACGCATTTTTCTTGGGGTGGAGGCAACCGTTGTCAACTGCTAGATTACATATGACCCCCCACCCAACGTTAGCTGTGTCCCCCAGACCTTGTCAGCCGCGGCGATGATTGGCGGTCGGGGCTGTTGCACGCCATCGCTGTCTCCAGTTAAGGACGATCGTAAAACCAGGCATGGGAAGGCAAATTGATGTGGCGGTTGACTGAGCGGTGGGCGGACGTCTAGGCCTCTTGCACCTGCCTCGGTGTGTGATCATCGTCCCAGCCCACATCAACAACCGTTGTCTCGTCTGCGCACCTGGGGTGCTATCTTAAACTTTGGGCCTAACTTTCGCATTGTCATCTGGTGCTTGTGCATTTGTGTTTGCAGCAGTCGACCAATTTACCAAAGTAATTGCACTCAACAGTCCGCCGAAAGTGATGCTGTCAAAGACCCTACCGACTTTAGTGAAGCTGCGGGATGTGCAGTTGCGTTAGAGCTCCATGTAATGAGAGCTGCGCGCAAGACTCTCCAACCTCTGAAAACGGATAAGCGAAATGACTACTCGAAATGTAAAACCTCAAACAAATCTTCCCTTACAAACGCCTCTTCTCCCTTTGAGCTTTGATAACAGTCGATTAGGTAGGGCTGACTTATATGGCTCCCTAAACAGGACATGAGAACAGGAACCGCCTGCAACACGAGTGGCGTTGAGCCAACTTCCGGCGAAATTAGGGCTGGGCTTAAGGTCAGGGTTAGGGTCAAGTTAAGGATCAGGTTTAAGGTTAGATTTGATGATAACAGTAGGGTAAGCCATGATCAAGTTCAGGGTTAAGGTAGGGGCTAGCGTTAACTGCAGAGCTAAGGTTTGGGGTAGGGTTAGGGTTAAAATTAGGGCAACAGTTTTATACTAGGTTTATTGTTGGGGTTAGGACAGGGAATTATTTTGCCGTTTCCGAAATTATGCCCAGGTCCACCATTATTACTTGTGCAGGACGTTCCTATCTCCATGTTCTGTTTAGACGTCCACATAAGTCAATCCCGCTGTCGACTGTATGACTGATCATAATAAGAATTGAGGTAGTATATGCGGCATATCCAGTAGAAATAGTTATAATACTACAGCAGCTATTGTAGTAGTAGTAGTAGTAGTCGTAGTA